TAGGCAAAGGAGTAATTTTAATACTATGAGGATAACTCTAATGGTTTTGAAAAACATCTCATCTTGACAGTGGGTACTAGTAGAGCCAGGGTGGATGGTTTGAGTACTTTCCATTAACTCTGGTCCAATGTGGATTTAGATGAAAGTAATGAAAAAACAAACATACCCTTCTCAAAAACAATGTAGAGGAAGTCAAAAGCATGCCGAAGACAAAACAGCAAGATGATGAAGACAATGGTAAACAAACCTGTACAGACTTTTCTACATTTTAACCTGAAGGATCTCATCCACAGATTGGTAAAAATGGCATACAAGAGAGTGAGAAAGGTGATGAATGTGATGAAATGAAATGTCAGAAAGCATGGAAGCATCAATATAAAGGAAAAAATATATACAAACCAAAAGAGTTGGTGAACCCATCCTGTAAGGGTAAAAGGTGAGGATCCCCAAAATAAAAACAAATTATGGCAGGAACCCTGAAAAGAAGGTAACATGCCAAGTAATACTATACAGCCTAAACATGACACAGAAGATTATTCAGGTTCGAATGAGCATAGAGGTGAGAAATTGAAGGGAGGAAGATTGAAAAGAAAGAATAATCACCTTTCCAAGCAGCAAAAGTCTTAGGAAAAAAAGGCCCAATCTTGGTAGAGAAGTAAGGACAGTGAAAGAAATTGCAAGAGATATGTCTTCAAAGAAAGACAGTATAAGGAACATAAGGCCAATGGCTCTAACAAGAGCATGTGTAAGAGAGTTTAAAATCACATTAAGGTCTCAGTCAGGCATAGGAGTAGGACAAGAAGGTTGTTGAAAAAGGAAGAATCTGAACAAAATGCAGAGGACAGTGGAAGAAAAACCTGGCAGTGGTGGAAATTGACAATACATGGTCAAATAACCGTGTGAGAAAGCTTAAAGATGGGTCACAGTAGGACAAAGTCAAGGTCTCTAACTGAGCATGTGTAAGAGCATGTAAAGCCACATTAAGGTCTCAGTTAGGCATGATGGTCAGTGAAGAAGAAAGAATCTTAACAAAGTGGAGAAAACAGGGGCAGAAAAGACCTGGCAGTAATTGTAAAGGCAAAATATAGTTAACGAAGCTGCCTAACAACCAGCAATGGTTGAACCTTAAAGGACAACAAGAATGGGATAACAAGAAAGCTACAAAAACAGTGTTTCCTGCCCTGTAGGCAATAGACCAGACAAGTCCCACAAGTGAAGATGAAGGGATGAAACCCCTAGTTGGAATAAGAGAGAGCAGGAACAGGGTAGAGAAATAGGAGGCCAACTAATGATGCAGAGGAATCCAAGGTTGTGCTAGCCAAAGAAGTGCCACCAACAGGACCTAATCAGGAATATTGTATATCATAGTGAGAAGACAAAGAGAAGGATAGGCATACAGTAAAAGAGGAGACCAGTTCTGGCTGAGAACAAAAACCACCAAGGCCAAAGTATGAGGAAAACTGGGAACCAGAAGAGAAGCATGGTGTTGAGAGGAGTGGCAAAGGCACCAATGAGAGATATGCCCAACTAAAAAAACCTGGGGTTGGAGAGACCACTATGGGTAGAATTCTGTTAGGTCAAGAGAGGTGATCCATCACCAAGTTCAGACCACCCAGCACATGAAAAGCTGAGACGAACCAGATGGAAATGAGCCCAAAATATCAGGTCCAAAGCACAGAAGCAAAGAGTCCTGGTACCTCTTTGACGATTGATATATGAAACAACTGTGGAATTGTCAGAGTAGCTCAAGACCATAGGATCTAGAAGAAATGGGAACATTCCCAATGGATGCAAGAAGTTGAGTACGTTGATGTGGAGTAAACAGTTCTCTGGAATCCAGACACCCAAAGTCACTGTCATTCAGACACACACCAGCCTAATAGAAAAGCAGCTGTGAAGAGATGGATATCTGATGAGAAGGGCATCAAGAGGATCCCTACTGTGGTATTGGCACAGTCAAGCCTCTACAACAAGTACTCAAGAACATGAGAGGATAACAAATCACAAGAAAGGTTCCACTGGTATCCCAGTGTCAACTAAAGGAGGCACATGTGTGCACAGCCTAAATAAATGAGTGGTGTAAGGAAAGCCAGAGTTCCCAATAGTGAAAGAACCTCATATGCAGAGTGCAAAAGAAAAAGTGAATGTCAGTGACAAGACATTCCATTGCTCGCAGGAAGTGATGAAGGCTGAGCCTGATCGAGATGAGAGTTGAAGAGCACTTCCAGATGTACCAAATATTGAGTAGTTGTGAGAAAAAAAAGAGTTGGCGTGTTTGACAAGCCAGCCCAGCTGAGCAGCCTCCTATAGAAGCATGCAGGTGTGAGAAGGAGTCCTCCCAAGAATGTGTGAAGAGAAACCAATTATCTATATAATAATGGAACCTCACCTCCAATCCATGAATATGGTGGCCAAATGCCCCCAGGACTTGATTGAAGACATAAGGTGCAGACACAATGCTAAAAGGAAGAACATAGGACTGGAAGACTCAATCACGATGCATAAAAGAAAGAAACATCTGGAGGACAGGATTATCAGAATGTGTAAAATGCCAACCAATACAATGACCTTAGTCATTCAAGACCAGATGAAAATAGCCACCAGAGAAAATAGAAATTTTCCATATGGAAATGAGGGATGACAAGAAACTGGTTGAGAGACAACAGGTTGATAACCAGATGCCATATCCTTGTCTTGTTGGGGGTTATAATAAATCAGGAGTAATAACCCAGGTAGGAGTAAATACTCTGTCAATGGCCTTTTCAGATGACAGATCCAAGACCACATCCTTGAAACACTGAAGATAAATGGTATGGAAAGGAGGAGAAAAGGAAACAGCAAAAGGAGAGGAGAAGAAGAGAAGTGGAGAGATAGACTCTGGGTGAGAACCTGAAGAATCCATCTGTTGGCCAAAAACTGGCAAAGAGAGGCAGATGGGTTCCCACTGGGCTAGATCTGACAGAATCATTACCAATGAGACAAGCAAAGACCTTGATATTGGAAAGTGGAAGGATGAGAAAAAGGTTAGGAAGCTAGAATGGGAAGGGAAGATGTAGATTAAGCAAGCCTAGTAACAGAAACAGAAGAGTGAGGTTGAGAAAGATGAAAAATCAAAGCAGACAATGAGGACTGATGCGCAGGCTGCCTTGGCCCAGGTGTCCAGTGAGTCAGGAAAACTCCTGACGACATCTGAGCAAAGAAAAGAAGCCTGATGAAGATCATGGAGATAAGAGTGAGGGAGGCATACATTACATAGGAGAGTATCCCATCCTAACAGTAGAGGAACCAGGTAAGGAAGGATAGAACAGTAATAGTAATATTGGCTAATGTGGTGAAAAGAAAAGAACAAACCTCTCTGGAAAACTCTTCCACAGCATGGTGAAGTGCCACAAGAATATGGTGAAATGATGAGAGGTAATGCAAGAGAGTTGTAAGAAAGAGATAAAGGCTTGAAAATTTGGCAATAGAAAAAGAAATTAAGCAGGTAAAAGAGATTCAACAACTGTGAATCAAGGAATGGCTGTAAGCCTGGACAAAAAAGTTAAGCAAACGAGGAGGACAAGGCATGTGAATATAGGTGTACAGTTGTTCATAAATGAGTTTGCATGGACCTTAACATCACCCCAAGGAAGGAAGAAAAGTAATTTTGAGATGAGTTTCATGTAGTAAAGCAATGGAGGAAATGAAAAACACAGATGAAAGAGAAAGAAAAGTACATATCTTCAAAATAATGTCGAGGAATAGATTAGAAAGGTGAGGATTTTCCTCCACAGATAAAGCTGTGCTTAGAACAAACTCCGGTGAGGAAATATCCGGTCAAAATTATCGTAATCCTGGTCACGTTCATATTGAGGAGAAGGAACATCAGCCGAATGAACAGGATGAGGATGCCCTGTGTACATGAAGAAACCCACAACACATGGAACAATGGCTGTCATGTCCTTCACAGATCACTATTACAGGACAAAGTGAAAGTTACCATTAATTGAGAATTCATAATAGAGGGAAAGCATAAATTTTCCTTTCTAAGTGAAATTAAAGAAACCATGCTGTTTATGTGAACAATAAATTAATAAATGTCAAGTAATACATTAACAATTTTGGAACAAGTACATTCTAGACAATGCAGAGGAAAAGAATGAAGTTAAATTGATAACAACCTACTGCACAAGGAGATTGTGTTGTTTTCCTATTGGTGGAAGACTATTGTCTCATGATGATGACATCATGCACTAATGCAGTTTACATTAAACACATGTTTTAGGTGGGAGGTAGCTCAAGGCTAGTGTAGTGGCATGCAAATCTCACTGGAAGATGCGTGAAGTAATCTGCTTTTCTGTGTGCAGAAGTGAAGTATTGTCCCACAACCTATATTTCAGAAAAGTTATTTTCTTTCTAGATTTGTATTTAGAAAAATTTTGTCTATTCTAGACAATACCAATGGAAAGAATGAAGTTAATTCAATTGCAAGTGCTTATGGAGAGCTACTGCACAAGAAAGTTGTGTCGCACTTCTATTGGTAGAAATATATTGTTGCCTGATGAGGACATTATGCACTAGCACAGTTAATGTTAAACAGATTTTCTGGGTGAGAGGTAGCTCAAGGCTAGTGGCATAGAAATCTCATAGGCAGATGCATGCAGGAATCATCCTATTCTGTGTATGGAGGTTGGATATCATCTTGAAATTTGTCAGACTTGTTACATCACCATCAGGGTAAAGATCTCATATTGATAACCTAAATAACACTTTTGTGAGTCCATTCTTAATAAAGAAAATATATGCAGCACTAATAATTTGAGACTACTGATATTAGTACTAAATTAAAAACATATATATTGCTCAGAGAAAACACACTGCTTTTGTTTAAATTAAGCAGCAAGGAAAAATTAAACAACGTGGTATAACATAAACATCCCTAACATTAAAACAACATATTTTATTAATTTATTGTATTATTAACTACACAACAGTAAACAAAACTTTGAGTTTTGTAATACTTTTCACACTTGCTGTCCTGCCAACTGGAACAACTAAAAAAAAAGAAGTGATCTTCATTGTAAGTTATATAAAAGATAAGCCTTTAAAAAATTTATACATTTTAAACACAGTATAACTGTTAAATAACCAATGTTCCCTGACATTCTGAGAATTTGGTTATGAAAGAAAATTTCATGCGTAAACTGAATAATTTATTTTTTACACACATATTCTCAGCTTTTGAAATGTTGGACCTTAGTTTCAATTTCAGGTGCTAAAGCAGCACTGCACCCCTGATAAGCAGGTTTTACAAAGAGAAACCTAATAAACCTGATCGCTGTTTCATTGAAATTCCATACTAATTGATAATTTTTGAGCACATTTTCTTATTCACAATAAAAAAAAGAAGCAAATGGTTGTTATATGGCAAAAAAGACTTTCATAATACAGGTGCTAATGTAATAAATCAAGCACATATAAATGTACCCCACCTTAATTTTTAATCCAACATTTTAATATCTTATATTTTACTAGTTTTTAACTTAACTTAAAAAAGTGGCAGAGCATCTAAGTAAACATTCTCAATTACTTTTTTAAATTCCCAGTGATCATAACATGTTCAATGCCATTGATTTGTTGTAATAATGATAACAAAAGTTACTTACACTCTTTAATCTCATGTTCATAAAAATGATGAAGACCATGAAGTGGCTTGTTGGTAGAGCAGGAAAATACTGTTGATAATAAGTTAAAATTAAGAAACATGTTAATTTTTTTTACACAATTCTTGTTTAGTAAAAACTGCATAAGGAGTAGAGTGCATGTACTAAAGTACCAATAATTATATCAAATAAGTGATTTATAAAAATCACTAAACAGTTAATAATACAGCTAGTAAAGACATCAATCCTCCTAACCTACCGTTCATGTTTCTATGGTTTACACATTCTTTTTATACACAATGAAGACAATGTACTGTACAAGAATACTGTGAAAACAATATTTTTTAAATTTTAATTTACAAGAACTAATTCTTTTAATCTTATACCAGCTAAACTTGTATAATCAAACATTCTTCACAATCTCATATAGAAATCGTTTCATGCATATAATTTTTTTACAACTAATCAACTTCTATAATGTTATATTGGTGTTAAGATATGGTTGCACCACATATGAAAGCCATCTTAGATGAGTGGATTGTAATTTAAACCATTTATGCACGTTCTTGCCTCAATGGTTGGCCTGGTATACAGTGTATGTGTGTTATTGGAGCTGTTGATTGTAGTGCTTCATAGAGCTAAACAATTGGTGGAATTTGATATTCAACTAACTGATTATTCTCATTTAAGATGCTTTCGACAGTTGTGTGTGTTAGTGATGCTTTTGACAGGAGAGTGCTGTGTTGCGTGTTGACAGTCTGATCATATAAGAATGCTATCGTGTGTTAACCATGAAAGGATGCCATGTTGTGTATCTAAGGTTGAGCATTTTTGAATATGTTTTGAGTGGGAATTCTACATTAGTCAGGATGATGTCAAATGCTTGGATCTTGGTTCCAAGTAGTAAAATTGGAAAAATGATAGGGTTAAAGGGGTGGCATAAAGCTACTTCAATTTTAGTTTGTGATATACAGAAACTTAATGTATAACCTACATATTTATATGCAAACTAGACCTCTCAAAAACTACGTTGAAAAAATAAATAACAGAACAGAAGAGTGGATGCCTCGGAAATAAAAGTATTAAAGACATTAATTATCAAATGAATAAGGCAACTAAAAAACTATAAAAAGTCAGTCATTACTGCTAGAAGAGAAACAATACATAAGAAGAAATATCATCACAGAGATTAGAAACTAGAAAAGGTAGTATATGCCAGACCACAGATGTTATAAAAAATTATGGCAGGTGACATGGTCACTGTCAGATCTAAGGCATCTATCTCTAGAGTGAAAAAATTAATAACAAAACAGAAAAATGGAAGCCTGAGAAGGACATTAATCATCAGATGATGGAGACAACTATGAAACCACAAAAAGAGAGACAGTCTGTCAGAAGAACTAGCACCATAAACATTAGATAAACTCTTAAGTATACAAAGTGACTTAAGGCTAAGCAAGAAAGTTTAAATTTGGAAAACAGTGAACATTGGAAGAAAGACTACCCTCAGAGTCAAAATAAGATACAAAGGTGGAGCTGTCCAAGTAAAGAAAGTCAATACAGCATAAAAAAGTAGGAGTTTAACTGATCACTCACAATTAAAGAAGATGGACACAGTCAGAAATTGAGGGTAGGACAGTGTTAAAACCATAGCAATTCTTGATTAAATATCTGAGAAAATATGGTTACAGAAAAGAAGGAGAAAAAAACAAAAACCCAGATATTCAAGTAAGAAAGAAGAAGTAAAATCCCCCACTGAGAAAGAACAAATTCTGATAGAATCTTCTAGACTTTCTCCCAAGATCTGCTAAATGTTACTGCATGTCTGTATGTCAACAGACACAATATACTTCCTTAACCCTTTCCAGACGGGTCATGGGTGAAAGGCCATGTCATCGAGTTTGTTGACTTGCATTTAACATTTTATTGAACTACTATTTCATGAATTTATGTCAATTATTTTTGTATAAACTGTAGATTATAATTCAAATTTTAGTATTATGCCTTACTCAATTTCTTAATTTCAAAGTAAATATTAAAAAAAACACAGTTAAACATATATTTTTGTGTATCACGTGGTATGTTGAATGCAGCACTGGTTCAAATTAGATGTTGGGGAAGTCAAAATACTAAGTCTATAGTTTCGTACGAATTAGAAAC